TCATTGGAGAATGGTATTTAGAAACCAAGATCTAGGTGCCGGGTATGTCCATTGCTACTGGGGTGTCACTCATTTGGGCCCAAGTGGATAAAGCAAGGAAATATATGTGTATACATAGGTATCTGCACACTAAACTACAAACATGAGTCCATACTGCCGCTTCCCACTCTAATCCAGCCTCGCAGGGCTGGATTATTCTATCTCCTTCTGTCCCACCTTGTTTGTAACTTCTTTCTCCAGCCGTAAGAAATCTGGCTTTCAATATCTACAATACATTTCTTTACCCCTCTGTTCCACCCTGTGTTTACGTATGTTCAAAAGTCGTTCCAGAATTGCTCAGTCACAACGCTGTGAGGAATTTATTTAACTAGAGTACAGTGTTTGTGCGTAATTGTTTTTGTCTTTAGCCTTCCAGTATCCAGTCAAAATGCTTTTTCCGAAGTTGCTTGGGTCAGCTCCTTTCTCCTCACCCCTTTAGGTGTAGTCATGTGATTCATTTACAATACGGGCTGCACTCCATCTTTCCTACATCTTGAGTGACAAATGCAAAGTCCTGCATCCACAGTTCCAGACAGGGGAGTTCCACCATCACAAATCCCTCCTACTGCCTTTTTGTGTAAAAAAAGCAAAACAAGCAAATATCAGTAAAAAAAAAAACCAAAAAACAAAAAAACTAATGAAGAATGAGATAATTTATATAGAAAGGTGAAAATTAAAGCATAAAAAACAAAGCTACTGGGGTGTCTAGCTGGCTCGGTCAGTGGAGCATGTGACTTGATCTCAGGGTCAGGAGTTTGAATACCACGTTGGGTGTAAAGCCTACTTAACATAAAAATAAAGCACTGAAGAGTGTATATCACAGAACACATAATTATCCCAATTGTATAAAAACTACAGGTTGTATTTCAGATTCCTGGATTCACTCAATTATGTTAACAATTGTTACTGGCGGGAGGGGTGCTGTTGAGAAATAAGAAACGTAGGGGTGCCTGGGTGGCTCAGTGGGTTAAGTGTCTGACTTCGGTTCAGGTCATGATCTCGTGGTTTGTGAGTTTGTGCGTTGGGCTCTGTGCAGACAGCCCAGAGGCTGGAGCCTGCTTCAGATTCTGTGTCTCCCCCTCTCTTTGTCCCTCCCATGCTCATGCTCTCAATAATAATATGCTAAAAAACAAAACAAAACAAAACAAAACAAAAACCTTAATTTTTAACAAAACATTTGGATTGCTTTTACAAGCAAATATCAGCAGTCATCTTTTAGCTATCAATTTTTTAGAAATGTTTCTTAATGTTTATTTTTTGAGAGAGATAGAGACAGAGATAGCACAAGTGGGAGAGGGCAGAGAGAAAGGGAGACACAGAATCTGAAGCAGGCTGCAGGCTCTGAGCTGTCAGCACAGAGCCCAATGCAGGGCTCAAACCCACGGGCCATGAGATCATGACCTGAGCTGAAGTTGGACATTTAACCAACTGAGCCACCCAGGCGCCCCTCAGCAGTCGTCTTTTAAAAATAAAATTGGAAGTTTCTATAAATGCATTGGAAAAGACCTGACCTCAGGAGAGAGAATGGGGCTAGAAGGGTTTTATTTTCAGCCTGTACTTTTCTATGCTGATTTGAAATGAACAAACAACCACCTTGTCAAAGGCTGATATATTTAAAAACCTTATTGGGTTTCTTTTTTTTTTTAATGTTTATTTATTTTTGAGAGAGAGAGAGAGAGTGTGTGTGTGTGTGTGTGTGTGTGTGAGTGGGGGAGGAGCAGAGAGAGGGAGGGAGACACAGAATCTGAAACAGGTTCTAGGCTCTGAGCTGTCAGCATGGAGCTGGAGGCTGGGCTCGAACTCAGGACTGGCAAGATAATGACCTAGGCTGAAGTCAGACGCTTAACCGACAGAGCCACCCAGGCAACTCAGGTTTGTTTCTAAATAAACAAATATGGGGAGAGACAACTCTAAGAGTAGGAAGAACAAGGTATCAGGAACCAGAAACGTGTTGTTGTTTGTTTATTTTTGAGAGTGCGTGTGGCTGGGCCGGGGCGGGGGAGGGAAAGAATCCCAACACAGGGCCAAAATCAAGGGTCAGATGCTTAATCGACTGAGCTACCCAGATGCCCCAGGAAATAGTTATTTCTGATGTCAGGAGGGAGGTGAGTCCTAAGAAGGGAAGTGTCTAATGGAGACCAAGGCGAGATCATCCTCCATGAACTACAGGCCAGCAAAACCAGGCGGCTGGCAGGTCCACCTCCCAAGAAGCTTGGTAATGAAGGGAGGAGGCAGAAGACTGGGTGGAATTTAGGGGGAGGGGAGGAGCAGTAGGCTAGACTCGGACATGTTAACGTACTGCAGAAAATCACCCAGGTCAATTAAGAGTGGGGAAAAGGGACAGGGCAAGTTTCTGGGTGAAGCTCCTGAAAAAGGATCCAGAATGCAGCTCTGGGAAAGGGCCAACATCGACCTGGGATCTGTGGCCCAGGGAACACAGATGGGGTGTTTGGTGTCCTGTCTACTCATACCTGGGGGAAGGCTGGAGACAGGTGAAAACACTTTGTGCCAGACATCCCGCTATTTTAACTGCACTGTCTCTGAGATGTGGGTGCCATCATGGTGCTCCTTTTTTAGAGCAGGAAACCTCGAATCGAAGAGGCGGACTTCCCCAAATCCCACCACTAATGACCAAAGTTCAGCCCCTGCCACACTCTGTCCTCTGGGATTTCAAAAGTTCAGGACCTATGGATGCTTAACCCTGCTTTAGCTCATCTACATTTCACAATGAAGTAAACACTCTCAGTTCCAGTTTGGATAAGGAAATGAAGGCTTTGAGAAGTTAACTACTCTGCTCAGGATCACTCTTGGTGGCAGAGCCAGGATTCCAACCATAGTTGGTCTCAATCCGGAACCCGTATTCCTTAGTACTACGTCCAGTGTCCTTACCCAGACACTCGCTAATCTATTGGGATGACAATAATGCCACGACCTCTTTCACAGACCCATGGCAAAACCCAGAGCTGCGGGTTGGGTCACACCCAGTTGATCCTGAACTCTCACTGAGCAGCTGCGTAGAAAGTAGAGTGACAACCAGATGTCAACCCTCCCCATGTTAGATAAGGCCTCGCTCAAAGAGGACAACAATGATGCAACTTCTAATATTTTATTAACAGGAGTTTTTAAAAACAAGCATCCATACCAGTGTGGGGATGAGGGTGGGAGCAGAGAGGAAACAGAAGGGGAGGATGGTCAGCAGGAAGAATTCTGTTCTATTGGTAATAAAGCTCCAGGTTCATCCCATCGTGGATTTCATCTGAAGTGAAGGTGTTAAGGAATTCTCACTGTGCGTTCCAGCTCCACCCCCCTCATCTTGCACACGTGGGTCAGAGTGGCCTGAGGGCCCAAGAAAGGCATTTTGAACCGGGTCATTTTGATTTGGAAAGAATCCAAACCATAGGAAGGGAGGGAGGGAGGGAGGGAGGAAGGAAGGAAGGAAGGAAGTTGATGCTCCTTTTGCACAACAGACATGCCTGAGACTCACTCCATCCTGGCCTCCTGTCCACACTCAGGTAGAGTTCAGTAAGAAACATGTTGACCTTCAAGTGTCTTCTAAGCCAAGTCAAAATATTTCACCACCCACCCTCCTCCCCCAACAAAATAATTACATGGCTCCCATTTTCGAAATGCTTACCATGTGCTGCGCACTAAGTTAAACGTTTTATGCGCACAATCGCACATAGATTCCAGCACAGAACAAAGAGAACCAAGTCGGGTATGCAGACCCTTCCTCAAGAAGTCACACAAAGGATACAGTCCCCCAGAGACACATGGTCCTTAAAAATCGTGTACCTGTGGGATAGAAACCTTTTAGACAGAAGCCTGAGGTGGCTTTTCATACTAGAGGCAAGCCGAGGAAACCCTGCCTAAGCAAAGGGCTGCCTGCAGGGCTCTGGAACCCAAACCTCTGGACTGATCCTGTCCAGCGCCCAGCTCTACCACTGTACTTACCACTTCTTCAGGACGATCTTGTTCCAACGGGTGCCAGTTTGGGCTGCGATTAGCTTCTTAAGGTCCCCGATGGTGTCATCAGTGCTGGGCGCAGAGTTGTTAAGGAAAATGGAAGGGGGAGGTAGAACGTGGAAGAGGACATTCCAGGGCTGAATGCACCCTACCAGGACCCCATCCGCCCCCTCCCCCAGGAAAGTCCCCCTACAACACAGACTGAGGTGCCCCAGGAACCACTGCCTCTTGGCCGCCGGTGGATACTTGCACTTAACGCGGACCTTCTTCCCTAGACGGTCGTTGCAAACAACCTCGATCATCCTGTCTGGAGCTACACAGGGCGCGGGGTGGAAGGCAGCAGAGTCAGGGCTTCAGGGGTCTCCCAGGACCCAAGACCCCGGGTTTGGGCTCTATGTTCACCCCTCAACCTCCCAGATCCGTGTCCTCCCGGGCCTCCCAGTCTCAGGACCGCGGACCCCAGGGAGCCGCGCCTCCCTTCTTCAGGTCGCCCGAAGGCCCGGCCTCGCCTCTCGCAGGGGCACAGACCCTTGATGGCCGGGTCCCACCAGCTTTCCCCAACTGCGGACCTCTCTACCTGGCCCCTGACCTCGAAACGCTTGGAATCCGCCGACGCCACAATCTCCTCTCTCGAAGGCGGAACCCCGGTCAGAGGCGGAAGCGGAAGTGAGCAACCGGAAGCGTAGGTCCGTGCTCCCTGCTCAACATCCCTACGACTTCTTTCCGGTCCCAGGCCCAGGGTGGGTTTGCGGTTCCCAGAAGCGGTGCAGGGTCCCAAGGCTGGGTAGGGGGCGCCTGCCGTGGGTGCGTGGGGCCCCGTCGGCGTCCCGGCCCGTGCCTGGTCGGGGAAGGGGCGTGGAAAGAAAGCCAGAGGTCAGGGGCCGGCGCCCAGCTCGCTGGAAGCCGTCGGTTGGGGCCCCTTAGATGTGGGGAGACGCCGTCTTGTGTGGCTTCTGGTAGGAACATGGGGCGGGCGAGGGGGCTCGGGGGACATCCCGTGGGGGTAGTGACCTCCCGTTTCTGAGCCCGAGGAAGCCTCTTAATTGCAGCTTCGGGGCTATGGGGAGCCTGGGTCGAGTCATGCAGTCACCTCGTCTGGCCTCTTCGCTCACCCCTCCGTTTGGCTATCGCGCCTGACCGCCCCCCTCCCACCCCACCCCCCCCAAGACACCTGGGCGCAGACCGCAGTCAGTAAGCAGAAACGCCGCCTGATCTCGTCCTGGACGCCAGCACTTAGAATGGAGTCCAGGTTGCACGCCAGCCTGTCAACACCGGCAAGTAAACTGAAAACGGCACAAGGGCAAAACCACCCACGTTTGTGTCTTCAAGAAAGGACGCTCCCGCCCTGCAGAGCACTTTGTACCAGATCTCAGCCTTGCCTTTCAGTCTCGAAGAAGCCCCTGGACTGGTCTGATTCCCCAGAGCTGGTGGGACAGGGGGTACCCTTCTCTGAGTTCGAGCAAACAGCTGCCAATGGAACTGGTCAACCGTTCTTTCTTGGCAGACAGGGTTTTCCCAGTTTGGTGACCCTGGAGGCATTCGCCCTGAAAATGAGCCACCACTTCTGATTTGCCCAATCCACCTTCTCAGACTGGGCTATGAGATTAGGTGGGAGACATGAGAGGTCATCCTGTGGAAAGGGCAGATGCTCTATGACCCTGTGTGGGGCTGACCTGGTGTAGGGAGCTGGCCCAGGAGGTCCTACCACAAACACTAGGTTCAGGGGCCTTTCTGCTCAGAACTTTGACCTGTCATTCCTCTGAGAGCCCTTCTGAGTGCGCTTGAGAGGGGAGGGACTCTGAATGGAAAACTTACTCAGATTGGAGACAGCAGGCTTTGGATTTAGATGAGTCAAAACCTCAACATTACCACTTTATATTACACTGTATGATCTCAAGAAATACAGTTACCCACACTTATTCTTATTTTCCTCATCTATGGAAAGGTGATAGCAATTCCCAGCCTGGGATTGTAGTAAGAATGGGTCTTGGAGCAGCCTCTGACAGTCCTTTACGAATTTACACAAGGGGCACCTGGGTGGCTCAGTCGGTTAAGCTTTTGACTTAGGCTCAGGTCATGATCGTGAGGTTCCCGCATGGGGACAAACTTCAAAAATAAACTTCAAAACTTCAAAAGTGAACATTTTATTTTTTTTTAATTTTTTTAACATTTATTTATTTATGAGACAGAGAGAGAGACCGCATGAACAGGGGAGGGTCAGAGAAAGAGGGAGACACAGAATCTGAAACAGGCTCCAGGCTCTGAGCTGTCAGCACAGAGCCTGACGCGGGGCTCAAACCCACAGACCGTGAGATCATGACCTGAGCCGAAGTCGGATGCTTAACCGACTGAGCCACCCAGGCGCCCCAAAAATAAACATTTAAAAAAAAAAGAGTGAGACACATAATAAATCATGTGTGCATTTTTTTAATTTTAATTTTTTGCTACTATGAACAATGCTGTCTAAGCATTTGTGTCCTTTTTTTAAAAAAATGTTCATTTTTGAGAGATAGAGCATGAGCAGGGGAGGGGTAGAGAGAGAAGGAGACAGAATCTGAAGCAGGCTCCAGCTCTGAGCTGTCAGCACAGAGCCCGACATGGGGCTTGAACTCATAGACTGCAAGATCATGACCTGAGCTGAAGTCGGGCACTTAACCGACTGAGCCACCCAGGCGCCCCCCCCCCCTTTTTTTTAATTAAATAAACGTTTATTTACTTAGAGAGAGAGAAAGGGCAAGCAGAAGAGGGGCAGAGAGAGAATACCCCAAGTAGGTTCTGCACTGTCAGCATAGAGCCCGGTGCAGTACTCGATCTCATGAACACGAGATCATGACCTGAGCCGAAGTCAAGAGTCAGATGCTCAACTAACCGAGCTGCCCAGGTACCCCAACACCCTTTGCTTTTTAAAGCAAACAATATCGGGGCGTCTGTGTGGCTCAGTCGGTTGAGCATCTGACTTCGGCTCAGGTCATGATCTCACAGTTTGTGAGTTCGAGCCCCGCGTCAGGCTCTGCTGACAGCTCAGAGCCTGGAGCCTGCTTCAGATTCTGTGTCTCCCTCTCCCTCTGCCCCTCCCCTGCTCATGCTCTGTCTCTCTCTGTCTCAAAAATAAATAAAACATTAAAAAAAAGATTTAAAAAAAATAAAGCAAACAATATCCTGGAGATTGTTCTAAATAGCATTGAAAGACCTGCCTCTTTTTTTTTTTTTTTTTTTTTTTAGCAATTTGAGATTCTAGACATGGGATCGTTGGGTCCAATAGAGGCTGCAATCTGATATTGCTAAATTGTCTTTGAGAGTTTGAATCAATTCTGCCCTTTCTGCAGGGTTGAAAGAGTCTGTTTCCTCACACTAAGGCCATGTGGGTATTTTCTGTCTTCTTCATCTTTTTTAAGCTGATAGATGGAAACCATAGTGTTTTACCTTTATTATTATTATATATATTTTTTTAGTGTTTGTTTATTTTTGAGAGAGAGAGAGACAGAGCATGAGTAGGGGAGGGTCAGAGAGAGAGGGAGACACAGAATCTGAAGCAGGCTCTGGGCTCCGAGCTGTCAGCACAGACCCGACATGGGGCTTGAACTCACAGACCACGAGATCATGACCTGAGCCGAAGTCAGATGCTCAATCGACTGAGCCACCCAGGTGCCCCATACTTTGTATTTATTTATGGATAAGTGTGAGCATACAGATGTATTATTTTTTAGCTTTACTGAAGTACAGTTGATAGGCAAAATTGCACACATTTAATATTTACATCTTAATAAGTTTTGCATGTTTTAAAAAATTTTAATGTTTATTTATTTTTTAAAGTTATTTATATTTAGGGGCACCTGGGTGGCTCAGTCAGTTAAGCGTCCAACTTTGGTTCGAGTCTTGATCTCATGGTTCATGAGTTCGAGCCCCACATAGGGCTCTCTGCTGTCAGTACAGACCCACTTAAGATTCTCTGTGTCCCTCTTTCTCTGAGCCTCCCCCGCTTGTGGATGCACACGCTGCTTGTGCCCTCTCTCCCCCTTCCCCAAAATAAACATTAAAAAAGTTTATTTTTAGTAATCTCTACACCCATTTTAGGGCTCAAACTCAAGACCCTGAGATTGAGAGTCACATGCTCTTCCAACTGAACCAGCCAGGAGCCCCTATTTTGCATTAAAAAAAAATTTTTTTTAAGTTTATTTTGAAAGCGAGAAAGCGTGAGTAGGGGAAGGGAGAAAGAGAGGAAAGATCGAGAATCCAAGCAGGCTTGGTGCCATCAGAGTGGAGCCTGACAAGGGGCTCGAACTCATGAACCGAAATATGACCTGAGCCAAAGTCAGTGCTTAACGGACTCACCACCTAAGTGCCCCATGCATTCCTTTTTAAAACAGTTTTCAATGGGGCGCCTGGGTGGCTCAGTCGGTTGAGTGACCGAGTGACCAACTGCGGCTCATATCATGATCTCATAGCTCAGGTCATCATCTCTCAGCTCAGGGGTTCAAGCCCTGCGTTGGGCTCTGTGCTGATAGCTCAGAGCCTGCAGCCTGCTTAGGATTCTGTGTCTCCCTCTCTCTCTGCCCCTAACCCACTCCCATTCTGTCTCTCTTTCTCTCAAAAATAAACAAACATTAAAAAAATTTTTTTAAACAGTTTTCAGCATCTCCAATTTCTGCACCTGTGTGTATGTATTGAAAACATCTATTGCCATTATAGGCTCTTGGGGATGTGATTTAGCAAAACCTCAAAATTAAATTTCACATGCCCCTTTGGCCCATCAAACCAGCTCCTGGTTATTTATCCAATAAAAATAAAAAACATGGGAGGGGCGCCTGGGTGGTGCAGTCGGTTAAGCGTCCGGCTTCAGCCAGGTCACGATGTCGTGGTCCGTGAGTTCGAGCCCCGCGTCAGGCTCTGGGCTGATGGCTCAGAGCCTGGAGCCTGTTTCCGATTCTGTGTCTCCCTCTCTCTCTGCCCCTCTCCCGTTCATGCTCTGTCTCTCTCTGTCCCCCAAAAAATAAATAAAAACGTTGAAAAAAAATAAAAAAAAACATGGGATATATGTGTACACGTACATACGTATATAAAATAACACCTAGCTCCAATATTATTTGTGGTAACAAATCTGGAACAACTTGAATACTCCTCAATACAGGAATGTTTGAATAAAATTCACTGCCCTTATGAATTGCTAATTTAAAAATGAGTGAGGGGCGCCTGGGTCGCTCAGTCAGTTAAACATCTGACTTCGGCTCAGGTCATAATCTCGTGGTCTGGTCCGTGAGTTCGAGCCCCACGGTGGACTCTGCCGACAGCTCGGAGCCTGGAACCTGCTTCAGATTCTGTGTCCCCCTCTTTCTCTGCTCCTCCTCCACTCGCACTGTGTCTCTCTCTGTCTCTCAAAAATGAATAAACGTTACAAAAAAAAAGTTTAAAAATGAGTGATGGGGTACCTGACTGGCTCAATCAGTGGAGCATGTGACCCTTGATCTCAGGGTTATGGTTTCAAGTCCCACGTTTGGTGTAGCGATTACCTGAAAATAAAATCTTAAAAAAACAAACAAACAAACAAAAAAACGAGTGATATGGGTCACCTGGCTGGCTCAGTCGGTAGAGCATGTGACTCTTGATCTCAGAGTCGTGAGTTCAAGCCCCATGTTAGGCATGGAACCTACTTAAAATTACAAAATTTAAAATGTATCTCCAGGTTGTAAATTTAGGACCCACGTTGGGTGTAGCGATTGCTTAAAGTATTAAAGGGGGCACTTGGGTGGTTCAGTTGGTTAAACATCAGACTCTTGATTTCGGCTCAGCTCATGATCTCAAGGTTTGTGAGATTGAGCCCCGTGTTGGACTCTCTTCTGACAGCACAGAGCCTGCTTGGGATTCTCTCTCTCCCTTGCTCTCTGCTTCTCCCCTGCTCTTTCTTACGTGCATGCACTCTCTCTCTCAAAATAAATAAATTTAAAAAAATAATAAAACATAATCCTAGGGGCGCCTGGGGGGCTCAGTTGGTTAAACATCTGACTCTTGATTTCCACTCAGGTCATGAACTCACGTTGTGGGATTGAAGCCAGGCATCCGGGCAACATGCTGGGCTTGGAGCCTGCTTGAGATCCTCTCTCTCTGCCCCGCCCCCACACAAGCACGCTCTCAAAAACAAATTAAAAAAAAAATTATGTTTTTATTTTTGAGAGAGAGACAGAGTGAGAGTGGGGGAAGGGCAGAGAGAGAGGGAGAGGAGACAATCTGAAGCAGGTTCCAGGCTCTGAGGTGTCAGCGCAGAGCCCCACCCGGAGCTTGAACTCACGCACTGCGAGATCATGACCTGAGCCGAAGTCAGACGCCCATTTACTGAGTCGCCCAGGTGCTCCCAAAATGAATGTTTTAGAAGTGAATGATATACAGTTGGTGGGAGTGTCAACTCCCCCTCTGTGCAGAACAACTTAGCACTATCAATCAGAACGAAAAATTGAACACACCCTTTAACAAGCTGTTTCAGTTCTACAAATTTATTCATGTTCATAGGCATCAAAAAGCATTACTAGGTTTAAAAACAAGTTAGGGCCTCGCTCTCCTTTAGGCCAGCCGCTGGTCGTCCCGCCCCAACCCCGCGGTCAAGGCGCCCCAATGCTTGAGCGCGCCTTCCGGGCTTGGTCTTGGGGTCTGTAAGCCCGGCGCTCGCAAGACTCGCCGCGCTCCGGGCCCGTCACCGCACTTAACGCCCACCCGGGGCCGCCAGTCAACAACCGAGCCACTTTTTCCAGGCTGGATCCCAGTCCCCAGCCCCGCCTCCAGCCTTGTTCCCGCCCTTAATCCCGCTCCGTGGTTTAGTTCCAGCCCCTAGCTCATCCCTGGGTCTCCCGTCACCGCCCCAGGCTTGCCCTCGGGTCCCTAGTCACTGCCCCGTCAAGCCTCCGGGCTCTGCCCTAACCTCAGCCCCGCCCACAGCCTTGTCCCCGCCCCTGACCCCGCCTCCGGGTGCGTCACCGCCTCAGCCACGCCTTCCGGGCTCAGGCCTAGTTCCCAGCGTGTCCCCTGCGCTCCATCCAGATAGGGGGCGGGTCTGTCGCCGGGGCCCAACCCTGTCCCCGCGAGAGAAAAGCTGAAACTCTCCGCCCGCTGCTGGAGGCGGCGGCCTCCGCCTTGCGGGCACCCCCCGCCACCCGCCGCCTTCTGGCCCCCGGAGGGTGAGATCGTGAATCCCCTTACAGCCACAAGCGGAAGTGCGTGTCGGCGGGATCATGGCGACTTTGGCGGACCTGCCGGACTCAGTCCTGTTAGAGATCTTCTCTTACCTCCCGGTCCGGGATCGAATTCGCATCTCCAGGTGCAGCCCCGCCCCGCGGGTGGGGGGAAGAGCCGGGCTGGGGGAGCACCCGGAGATGCGAATCCGGTCCCCGGGGGGCCGCGGTTAGTTTTTTAACGGCGGGTCCCCTCCCCCCAGGGTTTGTCACCGCTGGAAGAGGCTGGTGGACGACCGGTGGCTCTGGCGACACGTCGACCTGACTCTGTACACGGTACACGGGGTCGACCGGGCGGGCATGGGTCGCGGTGGGGTCTCTGGGCCGCAAGGACCACTCCTTGCACCCTAGAGTTCGAGCTTGGCAGTCCAGGGTGCATCCCGGCAGCGTCCCTTAGCTGCCCTTCGGTGACCTCCTGGCCTGTTTCCCCATTTCCAAAATGAGGATAGCCAAGATCGTTCAGGGAGCTTAGAGCAGTGTCTGGCGTACGGTGAGCCTATGACAAATGCCTCTTGATTACATTAGCTATTAATGAGGTTTTCTGGAGAAATCATTCTCCAGATTCAATTTAATTTCCAGAATTTATTTACTGAGTATTGCATCTGAACCTTTTCCACGTTTTCCCATTTGCATTGTATTTTTCTTGTTTTCTTATGAACTATTTCAAATATACAGAGAAATGTATAGAGGATAATCTGAAACAACTATGTACTTACCACCTAGATTTAACCCATTTTAACCTTTAGTCTTTTTTTTTTTTTTTTTAAGTTTATTTAGTTTGAGAGACAGAACAGAGCGAGCAGGGGAGGAGCAGAGGGAGAGAGAGGGAGAGAGAATTCCAAGCAGGCTCTGCACTCTGAGCGTGGAGCCCAACCTGGGGCTCAAACCCAGCAATGTGGGATCATGAACTAAGCTGAAATCAAGAGTCCAATGCTTAAAGGACTGCGCCACACAGGCGCCCCAAACTTTTGGTCATTTTTGCTGCAGATCGTGTGAGACATACATGCAAAGACTTATGTATATGCATATGCATACATCATTTATAGATGTATTCATTGCATTTTTTGAAACCCTTCTCAGAGGTAACCACTATTATAAAATGGATTTGTAGTATTCCTTTCATGTTTTTATTTATTTCCTGTGTGACTACCCATAAGCAATATACAATTTTGTTGATGTGTTTCTAAAGTTGAAATAATGCTGTTCTGTCTAGGTAATTAAATGCTATTTATTATATATCCACCGATGGCTTTATTTACACAACATTGCTTTTGACACATGTAAATCTAGCTCATTCCTTTCAACTTGTTAAGTGAATATACCACAATTTGTTTACCTGTTTTCCTGTTGACAGACCTTTAGGTTATTTCCAAAGTTTTACTCTCACAAACAGTGTTATAAAATAGTGTCAAACTTCACTGTGTATATGAATCACCTAAAGATCTTGTTAAAATGCTGATTCTGGGGCACCTGGCTGGCTGATTCAGTAGAGTATGTGACTCTTGATCTCGGGATTGTGAGTTCAAGCCCCATGTTGGGTGTAGAGATTACTTAAAAATAAAAATCTTAAAAAATAATTTAAGAAAATAATGAAATGCTGATTCTGATTCAGTGAGCTGGGTGGGGCCCCAGATTCTGATTTTCTAACAGCCCCTCAGGTTTTATGCTATGCACAAATTTTATACTATGCAGTTTCTTTTTTCTCTCTTCTTTCTTGTTTTGTTTTATGTTTATTTTTTGAGAGAGAGCGCGCAAGCAGGGGAGGGGCAGAGAGAGAATCCAAAGCAGGCTTCATCCTTGCTATCAGCACAGAGGCTAATGTGGGGCTCAAACCGATGAACTGTGAGACCATGACCTGAGCTGAAGTGGACACTCAATGGAGCCACCCAGGCACCCCTACCGTCTTTTTTAAAAAAAGGTTAAATGTACATACAATGAAATGCAAGGTGTTTCCACTTACATTTTGTTTGTTTTGCAGTAATTAACTTCCTGGGGTTAAGTTTTGCAGTTTTCACCGTTACTAGGTTGTGATTTTTGTTATTATTTTTTTATGCTTATTTATTTTTGAGAGAGAGAGAGAGAGCAGGGGAGGGGCAGAGAGAGGGAGACACAGAATCTGAATCAGGCTCTAGGCTTCAAGCTGTCAGCACAGAGCCCAATGTGGGGCTTGAACTCACGAACTGTGAGATCATGACCTGAGCTGAAGTGGGACGCTTAACCGACTGAGCCACCTAGATGCCCCTATTATTATTATTTTTAAGATGACTTTAATTTACTCTGGACAGTTGTAGCCTTTTTCAGTTGGGCTTTGTGTTGCTTATTCCTAGTGGCAGTGGCCACGAAGAAAGGGATAAATGCTGGTGACTTGTTCTGCTTTCTTACTTACAAGGACCCCACTCTGTTGCTGAAGACAGATCTGTTATGATCTTCCCTTTTCTCTCAGTGCTTTTGTTCAAACCTAGAAGTCAAAACGATGGGGTTCACTTGGCCTGTTACTCCTGGGGAGGTGCATGGTGAGGTAAGGCTGGCAGGGGTTGGGCAGAAGCCCAGGGGAGCACTAGTGCCCCAGCTGGGGCTGGTCCATCTCCAGGCAGGCAGGGGCCTTGGGGTATTCTCCGTATCTCTCACCCTGTCACCCCCGCCTCTGGCTTTTACAGATGCGGCCTAAAGTCATGTGGCACCTCCTTCGCCGCTATATGGCATCCCGGCTCCGTTCCCTGCGGGTGGGCGGCTACCTGTTCTCAGGCTCCCAGGCCCCCCGGCTGTCCCCTGCCTTGATGAGGGCCCTGGGCCAGAAGTGCCCTAACCTGAAGCGTCTCTGCCTGCACGTGGCCGACCTGAGCATGGTGCCCATCACCAGCCTGCCCTGCACCCTGAGGACCCTGGAGCTGCACAGCTGCGAGATCTCCATGGCCTGGCTCCTCAAGGAGCAGGACCCCACCGTGCTGCCCTTGCTCGAGTGCATCGTGCTGGACCGGGTCCCTGCCTTCCGTGATGAGCACCTGCAGGGCCTGACGCGCTTCCGCGCCCTGCGGTCGCTGGTGCTGGGCGGTACCTACCGAGTGACCGAGACAGGGCTGGATGCGGGCCTCCAGGAGCTGGGCTACCTGCAGAGGCTGGAGGTGCTGGGCTGCACCCTCTCAGCTGACAGCACCCTCCTGGCCGTCAGTCGCCACCTCCGAGATGTGCGGAAGATCCGGCTGACCGTGAGGGGCCTCTCTGCCCCCGGCCTGTCCGTCTTGGAGGGCATGCCAGCCCTGGAGAGTCTGTGCTTGCTGGGCCCTCTCATCACCCCAGAAATGCCTTCCCCGGCTGAAATCCTCTCTTCCTGCCTCGCCATGCCCAAGCTCAGGGTCCTTGAGCTGCAGGGGCTGGGGTGGGAGGATCAGGAGGCCGAGAGGATCCTGTGTAAGGGGCTGCCCCACTGTATGGTCATCGTCAGGGCCTGCCCCAAAGAGTCCATGGACTGGTGGATGTGACTGCACCACCCATCCATGTTGGCTTTCATGGGTGAGCCCCAGACCCTCTGGACAGCACCTTGCAGAGGGCCCATAACCAGGTTGAGAGAGCCCAAAGCCACAAGGTAGAACGAAGGCCTTGGGGCCTCCGGACAGTTGGAATCCCTGTTTGCCAGTTGTTTGGCCTCTGTGACATCAGCCAGCTTCTCGGAGGGCCTATCCCCACATCTGCAAGTGGGGAAGATCATAGCTACCTCATGGTTATGTCGCAAAGCCTTACTCTTTACCAGCCCCTGGGCCAAAAAGGTCCTCGACGATGGGTCATTCTCAGGAACAGAATGGATACAGCAGGGTGGGGTTAAGAGTTAGGGGGAGCTGAGGGCCAGGGCCCCTTTAGGAGGCCTGGCAAGACTATCTATGCATGTGCACCCCCACGCTGACACACCATTGATACACGAGGGATGCGATGAGAAAGCCCAGGAAGACTTCTGCTTTGACGATTGAAAGTGTCAGTGAAGGTTCTCAGTTGTACTTTCGGTATTTTGGTATTCTATATTTTCAAATTTTTCCACAATATATATTATTTTGCTATTAAAGAAAAATAATTTTTTTTCCCAAAAGCATTTGGTTTATTCATTCAACAAACATTTCTTGCCTGCCCACTATTTTGCAAGCACTGGTCGAAGCCCTGGGGCCGCAGCAGTGAACAAAACAAGACCTGAGCAGACGGCAGGGTCGACCTCCAGGTGAACACATTGATGGGATGGTTTTAGAGACTGGGACAATTAAAAACATTTTTTTAATGTTTATTTATTTTTGAGAGAGAGAGAGAGAGAGAGACAGTGTGTGAGCAGATGAGGGGCAGAGAAAGAGAGAGGGAGACAGAATTTGAAGCAGGCTCCTGGAGCCTGGAGCTGAGCTGTCAGCACAATGCCTGAACCGGGCCCCGAAATCCCAGACCGCAAGATCACAACCTGAGCCAACGTCGGACGCTTCGCTGACTGAGCCACCCGGGTGCCCTGAGACTGAGACGATTTTGAAGCAGGCTCACATGATGGAGGTGCCTGTGCCTGGTGGAGTGGGTGGGGCAAGCCTCTCAAGTTTGGAGACCTGAGGGGTGAGGAGGAACCCCCTCTGGGAAGTGCGGGGGGAAAAAGAAGGCCAAGACACTGGCTGAGATAGGGATGAGTTTGACCTCTTTCAAGATCAGGAAGAAGATCTGCGGGGCTGAGGGAGGAAGAGGTGAGCAATAGGAAGCGAAGTCAGCGGATGGGGTGAGGTTGGAGGGTCCCCACAGGTGGCACAGGCTTTAGGGGGTCAGAAAGCAGCAACTCCTTTTCCTGCCCGTTGAGTCTGAGCCACTTGAAAGATGCAGGTGGCAGGCCGATAGTGATCAGGAGATGAGTGTCGCTTCTGACCCGAGCTGGGGAGGAGGGCGTGTATGAACGCGACAGGATCACCACCTGCCCACTGGCCCAGCTTACCTGCTCTGTGGTGGGCCAGAGCCAGAAGAGAAGATGGGGTTGAACTGATACCCTTGGTTCCTTGTTCCAAGCTCACTTCTCAGAGGACCTGGCTGTCCCTCTCATGCTTTCCCGCTAGGGGGTGGAGGAGAAATTCTCCATCTGGCCACCTGAGGACTATGGTTTGAGTGCTCCTCCAGTGTGGCCACAGTGAGTGTCTACCTATCCCATGCTGATCAAATCTGGCAGCTCCAGGCCAGGGCACCTGGGGGACTAGATTGTTCCAGGCTGGGGCACTGGTACTGAAGAGATGTCTTTCTCCCGGTCTCACCCGATTTCAGTGACCCCTTTCTGGGCTTAGCTCGGAGGGCTGGTAGGGTTATGGCAGAGCCTGACCACCGCCTTCGGGACCAGGGGCCAGGGGCTTGAGGATGCCCTCTGTTATGAAATGTACCTGAGGTCTGTTTTAATCACACATGGGGGCGCCCGGGTGGCTCAGTGAGTTGAGTGGCCAACTTCAACTCAGGTCATGATCTCACGGTTCGCGGGTTCAAACCCGGCGTCGGGCTCCGTGCTCACAGCTCAGAGCCAGGATCCTGCTTCAGATTCTGTGCCTCCCTCTCTCTCTGCACCTCCCCCACTCATGCTCTGCCTCCTCTCAAAAATAAATAAACATAAAAAAATCTTTTTTCAAAAATCACGTACGGCGATGGACACGGAGACAAGTGTCTTTGGAAGAAAACTTTATTACAGTAAAGCCTTGGTTTGCGAGCACAGTTTGTTCTGGAAACATGCTTGTAATCCGAAGCACTTGTATATCAAAGCGAATTTCCCCAGAAGAATGGAAACTCAGATGATTCATTCCACAACCCCAAAATATTTATATAAAAATGATTACAATACTGTAATATAATACAAAATAGTAAAGAAAATGCAAAATAAAAATAAAAAAATAAATTAACCTGCACTTACCTTTGAAAACCTTCATGGCTGGTGTGAGGGAGACAAGAGAGGGGAGGGTGATTGTGTAGGAGACCGACTTTCACTATCACTAACGGAATCACTGCTCTTGGCTCCATGGAATCTTTTTCTTGTGCAACTTTAACAAGGAACTTAGCCAATGACACTTGCTTTTGCCTCCTTCTGAGGATTTCGCCGAGATGTGGCATCGCATTGTCATTAAGCAGATTCCTCGCTCGCACTGCTACAGCCGTATTCGGGTGGTGCTTTTCTGCAAAATCTTGCACTGTTTCCCACATTTTACACGTCTTCCCAATCTCATTTGGGGTAAGGGATTCCTCCGCCTTTTCCTCCTCCTCCTCCTCTGCAGACGAGATCTCATCCATAACCTCTTCCTATTGCTTGCGATGCGGAGCCATCAGCCATCAGTGGTCAGCTCCTGGCCATGTTCCTCCACCAGCTCTTGAATGACATCCTCATTCACCTCCAGTCCCCCCCTTGGTCTTCCCCAAGGATACAATTTCATCGACCACCGGTGGCTCCTGTTCATGAGCAAGCCCCTCTAAGTCATATCTAAGAACACAAACAGGCCACAGTTTTCTCCAAGCAGAATTGAGGGTTCTCTTGGTGATCCCATCCCAGGCTCTGTCGATGATCTTGAGGCAGTTCACGATGTGGAAATGATTTTTCCAAAACTCTTGGAGGGTAAGGCTTGTTCCTTGGGCCACCTCGAAGCATCGCTGAAATAGTGCTTTAGTGTAAAGCTTTTTTAAAGTTCGCAACGACCTGCTGATCCATGGGCTGGAGGACTGGAGTGGTGTTGGAAGGAACTTGACCTTAATGAACTCGAATTCCTCTAGTAAGTCATCCTCGAAGCCTGGAGGATGAGGAGGGGCGTTATCCATAACCAGCAAGGCTTTGAGTGGCAGATTCTTTCCTAAAAGGTACAGTACTTGTGATTCCCAAGAGGAGGGGAATGTCTCACAGAGCCATTATGGGGAAAAACCATAATGGGGTCTGTAGGAGGCAGGAGAAGTAGGAGGAAAGCACAGGCATGAGCCTTTATTATGGTTTTTGCAGGAAGAAATAGGCGAGGCAGGGTAGGCAAGCTGAACAAGCTTAGAATTGGCTACTTTGGATAATTTTGGTGGGCTCTAGGCTCTAGAGGCCATTCCTAGTTGTCTGTTACTTGGCCCTGGTGTGATTTAGGGCAGAGGAAATACTGGCTTGCTGTGTTAGGGGTGAGATAACAGAGGTAGTTGGATTGGCTGGTTTGCATATGAAAGTGTGCTCAAAAGCAAGTTGTTTCCTATCTCTAGGAATTACCCAACCCTCAGAGGGGTGGTCCTGAGCCAGGTTTCCAAGGTCCTAAGGTGTCAAAGCATCACAAAATATAGAAAATTAAAAACAGGATTAAAATATAGAAAATTAAAAACAGGATTAAAAACCCTCCATTGGAAGTAAAGGGCAATCGCAAGAACTAACATTTCTCGAATGTCTATTTTGTGTCAGGTACTATGCATGTCAGGTCCTTCAGGCATGGAATTTTACCAGCAGCCCAGTGAGGAAGGTACAGAGAAGGAAACTGAGGCACAGAGAAGTTAAGTTGCCCAAAGTCACACAACTAGAGAAGTAGCAGAACTGAGTAATCTTATCCTACCGTCCTAACCATTAGGCAAAACTGCCTAGCTGATAGGTAGCAGTTCTAAAAGCCTGGCCCAACAGTTGTGCCCCATCAGGGGACAAAGACTAGACATATAAATTTTTGCATAGCTCTACTGAGGTATAATTCATAGCAATAAACAGCACATATTTAGGTGCATAATTTGATGAATTTTGACACATGTGTATCTTGTCTTTTACTCATTATGATGATTTTAGGATTTATCCAAGCTCTTGTAGGAATCAAAACTTTGTTCCTGAGTAGTATTCCATCATGTGACTATAATAGCATAATTTGTTACCCATTCACCTTTGATGGATATTTGTGTTAAAGCACATATATCTTGTTAAAATAATTTTTCTGATATAACAAATAATATATGCCTGTGAAGAATTTTAACAGTACAGAAAGGGTACCTCTTTCTAATGCCAGGCCCCAGAGGAAATCACTGTGAGAAGTTTGAGGTAGCCTTCTAGAATTTTGTCTACTATTGGGAGTTTGGAGAAAAATCAAAGACATTAAAAAAAATTTTTTTAATGTTTATTTTGAGAGAGAGACAGAACGCAAGGGAGGAGTACGAACTCATGAACTGTGAGATCATGACCTGAGCCGAAGTTGGATGCTTAACCAACTGAGCCACCCAGGCACCCCGACCTGCCTTTTCTCCCTCTTTCAATAACCCTTTTGAATGAAGTCTCTTTACCAATGTCCAGAATTATTTTTCACAATGATAAAGAAACAAAAATCCCTTGGGTCATTTTTGACTCTTTGCCCTAAAACTACACAAATCCATCAGCAGATAGCCATTGGCTCTGCCTTAATTTTAGCACCAGAGTGGAGCCCACTCCCTCCATTCTCCCCAGCCACCTTTGTCCAGACGTCTCCATCTGTCACTGGGATTATTGCCTTAACTTTCTAATGGTCCTCGCTGATTCTATCTTTTCTTCCCTAAAGTCACACAAAAGACGAAGAGAATTTTATTTTATTTATTTAAAGTTTTTAAATGTTTATTTATTTTTGAAGGAGAGAGAGACAGAGCATGAATGGGGGAGGGGCAGAGAGAGAGGAAGACACAGAATCTGAAGCAGGTCCAGGCTCTGAGCTGTCAGCACAGAGCCCGACGCGGGGCTCGAACTCAGGAACCGCGAGATCATGACCTGAGCCAAAGTCGGACACTCAACCAGCTGAGCCACCCAGGCGCCCCAAAGAGAATTTTAAAAATAGACATCAGGTCATGTTGCTCCTGGAACTCAAAACTCTTCAGGGGCTCCTCCATTGCTCTCAAGGTAACACCCACAATTCTTAGAGTTGCTCAGATGGCCTTGTATGATCTGACTTCATTGCTTCTCTGACTTCACTTCCAATTAGTCTCCAACCTGCCCGACTCACTTCAAACATTTTAGACACTGGACTTCTGATGTTGCCTACTTTTTAAAAGTTTATTTATTTATTTTGAGGGAGAGAGAGAGAGAGAGAGAGAGAGAGAGAGAGAGACTCTCAAGCAGGGTCTGCACTGTCAGTACAGAGCCTGATGCAGGACTCGAGCTCAGAAACTGTGAGATCATGACCTAAGCCATAATCAAGAGTCAGATGCTTAACTGACTGAAATACCCAGGTGCCCCTCTGCTGTCGTTTTAAAGGCCAAACCTCTCCTACCTCAGGACCTTTGCCCTTGTTCATTCTCCAGAAACTCACACTCATTCCCTGAATTCCTCCAACCAGATGGCTTGGGGGTGTACATGGTTCTGGACCTTAGTTTTCTCATCTGTCAAACTATTCTTTCTCTTTACCTCAAACACCAGGCAGCTATTATAACCAAAGGTATAGTGGGAAGGGAAAATGCTTTTCAAAGTGAGAACTGTTGGGGTGTCTGGGTGCTCCCTTGGTTAAGCGACCGACTCTTGATTTCGGCTCAGGTCACCATCTCTCTGTTGGTGGGATGGAGTCCCACGAGGGGCTCTGCACCGACAGCACGGATCCTGCTTGGGATTCTCTCTTACTCTCTCTCTGCCCTTCCCCTGCTCTGTCTCTCTCTCAGAAATAAATCAATCAACATTTAATGTGAGAACTGTGACCTTAAAAAAAAACTGGCGGTTATTTTATCAGCAAAAGACGGGCTTATTGAGGAACAGCAAAAATTTGCAGCCCCAGGCCCAGGTAAACCATGGCAAAACCATAGGTAAGTCCCCACAATAAAGGAAGGTAGCTTTTTTTTTTATAGAGGAAAAAGGGGGAGTGGGGAGGGGCTTTTATAAATTAAAAGTGCATTGGAATAAATTGGGAGTTTGAAGTAGTGGCTTCTCATTGGCTGAGCTGTTGCTGGGGGAGGAAAAAGCTTCCTTCCTCTTGCTGGGATACTAAAGGAGTACTTACTTACAAGGTCCCTCTCTTCCTGTTGGACCTACAATTGACTAGTGCTGGGCATGAAAGCTCTCCCTGCTGGTCTCCCAACTCCATTCTAAATGAGGTTTCCTTTCATTCGTTTTCACAAACCTTTCCAATAGGGAAGTAAAGTTTTATAGTTGGTTTCAAGAGCTACTTGAGATAGAGTGTAATACCCTCAATCACCAGAAGATGGCAGCACGTCACCGGATTTGCCACGTAGATACTTGTACCCTCACAATATAGGAATTAGGAGACGTTGCTAGTATTTATACACCTCGTCACCCTTCATAAATAGGGAAAATGGAAGGAATGTATACTTGTCGAGCATCTACTGTATGGGCTGGATACTCTTATTTACATTTGTGACTTAAGTCAGAGCACGTCCCCCATCTCTCAGAACTCCCCCAAAACAATCAAATGGGAAATGAAACAAAAAATTAAATGTGTGTATATATATATATATATATATATATCTATATATATATATATATAGTGTCTAGGAGTGAACCTAACTGAAAGATACAACCCACTGAAGAAGAAAATTTAAAAACTTTAAGGCCTTAAGGAAGGAACGGGATGAATGGAGGTGTGATCCACTTTGTGGACTGACTTTGTAAACCTGGTTCTGTCACAGAGTCTTGGAAGGAATGACAAAACAAGCAAGAAAAGCTTTTATTGGGTATCCTGAGGACGGGCCCACTGAGAGTGAGGCCCGCCCAAGCCCTGCCCTCACACCTGGTTCTCATCCGGTTTCCGCCCCCTGAGTCCGGAAGCCCCCTTAGCCCTGCCCACAACGCACTACGCTTACCCTCAAGCCCCGCCTTCTAGGATTGGTCTTCACCGCCCCCTGGCACGCCCCCAAGGCCTTGTCTCAGGCCAAGCCACGCCCCCAGGCACTGTCCCCGCCCCTTCCCCGCCCACTAATCCTCGTACTTCCTGGCTGGGCGGATTCAAGACCCTTGCCTGCCCGCTGGCTTCTTCAAGCTCTGCCTCCTCCGACTCCGCTGGGCGGGAGCCTCGGGGACCCGCGCCATCTCGGCTCACAAAACCGGAAGCAGAAGTGTCTGTCAGCCGGGGCGCCGCCGCAGTCTGCATCGCCTCTGGGGCATATGGGGGCGCCCAGCTCTGGTGTCGCCTGGTGGGTCTGGCTCGAAAGATCCGGGGCCAAAGGGCAGGTCCGGTCAGTCCCTTGCGGCGCGTTTCCCGAGAGACTTCCGGATCCAGCGCTCTTCCCGGCAGGCGGGGGCCGGGTTGCTCTGGTGTGGTGGAAGTAATGGGTCCAGATGACTCTGGACCTCAGTTTTCTCATCTGCTGCTCCTTCCGTCTCCCCGCTGCTCCTTCTCCCCCTTCGCCCCAAGCACTAGGCTGATGTTATAACCCAAAAGTATAGTGGGACAGGAAAAGGGCTTTGCTTTTCTTTTTAAAAGAGAACTTTTAATTTTTTAATTGAAAAAAACTGAATTAATTTTTTAAAATTTACATCCAAGTTGGTTAACATGTAGTATAATAATGATTTCCGAAGTAGAATTGAGTGATTCATCACTTACATATAACACCCAGAGCTCATGCCAACAAATGTCCTCCTTAGTGCCCCTTGCCCTTTAATGAGAACTTTTAAAAGGACATGAGCATGGATGATCTTAAAAACATGTTGTATGAAAAGAAGCCTTGCTCCAGTGTATATATGATTCTATTTAATGTTTATTTAACTTTTTGAGAGAGAGAGAGAGAGACAGAGCGCGGGGGGGGGGGGGGGCGGAGAGACCGGAAGACACAGAATTGGAAGCAGGCTCCAGGGTCTGAGCTATCAGCACAGAGCCCAGTGTGGGGGTTTTAACCCATGAGCAGTGAGATTATGACCTAAGCTGAAGTTGGACGCTTAACCAACAGAGCCACCCTGGCACCCCAAAAGTTCTTAAAAATTTAAACTATAGGGGGCACTTGGCTGGCTCAGTTTGTGTAACATGCAACTCTTGATCTTGGGGTTGTGAGTTTGAGCCCCATGTTGGGTATAGAGATTACTTAAAAATAAAATCTTAATGATAAATAAAATCTTAAAAAATAAAAAAAATAAAATTTAAACTATAAATTTGTTTCCTGTTGTGAAAATAAAGGGCAACCTCACTAAAATGGAGTCAGGAGGCCAGAAGGGATAGGTCTAACTCTACTACTCCATGTTAACTACAGGAAGAACTGTCATAAGCCCCATCAGGGAATGATGTACATTGTGTCTCATGCAAGAAATTGACTACCCAGGCAACTCAGCAGATGGGAAACTCATCACTCTCAACTCTTGCTTTTGTCTGTCAGACTGATTCAAAACAACCCCTCCCAACTTACTCTTTTCCATGAAATAACATTACTTTGTTGGGCTATACTATGGTTTTTGCCATTGTTTGCTTGTCCCAAATTGTAATTGTTGGCCATTCTTGAATAAACCTATATTTTGCTAGTGAAATAATTTTTAAGGTCAACTTTTTTTTTTTTTTTGGTATTTCTTATTTTAAAAAATTTAATGTTTATTATTTTGGGGAGAGAGGGCAGGGCAGAGAGAGAGGGAGAGACAAAATCTGAAGGAGGATCCAGGCTCTGAGCTCTCAGCACAGAGCCCTACATGGGGCTTGAGCTCATGGATGGTAAGATCATGACCTGAGCCAAAGTCAGACTCTTAACAGAGCCACCCAGGAGCCCCTTTTTAAGAGGTTTAAAAAGAAATGATTGAATGAATCTCCACAGGATTCAGTTTGTAAACATACTATAAATAGTACATTCCAATGTGGCACCCACATAGGAAATGTTTTCTTGTATGTTTGTTTTACCATCTGTCTTCCTCCCCAGTTGAAAAAAGAGTTCTGTGAAGGCAGGACTTGAATAAATGAAAGGAAAAGCATTATTAAGGGAAGTGATGGTTGGTTGGGGCATTTGGCTGGCTCAGTCACAAGAGCATGCGACTCCTGATCTTGGGCTCCTGAGTTCAATACCCCACGTTGTGTGTAGAGATTACTTAAACACATAAAAACTTAACTAAAAACAAAAAGTGATGGTGACCACACAAAAACCAGCAAGTGAAATATATAAAAGATCTAAACATGTTCATACTTAATGAAAGTCTAAAAATGCTTCACTATTTGCCATATAAAAACGGAAAGATTTAAAACATAAGGCCAACGGTCCCAAGACTACTACAGAAATGTATGAAAAGTTCAAAGGTAATACCAAAAACTTCTGAGAAGGGGCAAAGAAGTTTTTAAAGAATAGTGAAAAGGATGTATCAGGTATCAACTGCTTCATAACAAAGCACCTCCAAGCTTAGTACATCCTTGAACCCCGCTGCAGGAACTCAAGAGAACAGCATTTTTTGATTGGGAGCTGCCTGACTGGTCCGAGGTGGGCGCGAGGCTCGGTCCAACCGACTCTGTACCGTTCTGGTCCCGCGCCGAAGTCCGTGCCCTCGGCCTCGGCGCCGCTAAGTCCTGCCGGAGCCTTCCTTCCACCTTTAAGCCCCGAGACCGGAAGTGGAGTGCTTGGGACCTGAGCAGCGGCCAACTTCCCTTTACGGGTTTTCTCTTTATTTGCCTGCGGCACAGAAGAGCGGCTGCAGGTGCGAGGTCGGAGCTAGAGCTGGGAGAAGGGCCTCTGGGGAGTGGGTCTTGACTACGGCGAGAATGCGAGGTTCGCGGAAGGGGGGGTCTTGGTCAGGGTGGGCAAACGGGGCCTCTCGGAGGCGGGCCTCTGTGGGGTGCGTGGCCGGCGAGGGCGTGGTCTCTGTGGGGGCGGGGCCCTGGCGGGGAGGCGGGGACTGAGTGGGCGGACGCGCGCCCCGGCAGGGGCTGGGTCTCGCGAGCGTGGAGATCAACGGACGTTGGTCGCTTCTCGGGGTCCTTCCGACCTTCTGAACTGGGGGTATCGGTTGGGGCGGGAGTGAGAGGTGTTGATGAAATCTACTTCGAGGGTGTCCCCTTCTGCCTTCGTTATACAGGAGAATTTCACTTGTGGCTTTTGTGAGAATTGCTGAGGTGAGAATATCTTAAACTTAATTTTGGTGAATTACGTTTGATAAATTCATTTGGGAAAATGCTTTCTCAGGATTCTAGCGTGAGGGTCAATAAAAAGTGTAATGAAGAAAATGAAATGAAGTAAGTGAAAATGTAAGTAACAAGCCTTACAATTAAAGTTATTCACCTCTGTACTTCGCAAATCAGCTACACCTCTCCTCCAAGGGCCTGCCCTCGCGGTAGAGTTTTATTTTTTATTTTTTTAAAGGTTTTGTATTTTTTTTTAAGTTTGTTTAGTTGAGATAGAGAGAGAGCGAGAGCGCGCGCGTCTGTGCGGACGTGGGGGGAAGCGGGCAGAGAGCCTGATGCGGGGCTTGAACTCAGGAGCCGTGAGATCGTGACCTGAGCCTAAGGCCAGAGTCCAGCGCTTAAGGGACTGAGCCATCCAGGCTCCCCTGGGAAGAGGGTAGACTCTTGATTTAAAAAGCTCTTCCCTTGGTTGGAAAGAAGGCAAAAGTGACTCTGATCCGTGAAATTAGCTGTGTGCAGAGGTGACCCCTCAGCTACGTGCATTATGTTTGTTTGCGCTTGACTGTTTTTCTTGATTACACAAGTGATGCATGGGTATGTTGTTTAACATTCAAATAATTCAGAAACTATAGTAAGAATGTTAACGGTTCCCTTCACAGTCTCCCTGCCAAGTGCACATAAAATACAATGTCCTGCTTTGTAGGCCTCCAGTGTTTACTGATGGCAGTGTGGCCTTGCCCTAATTTTTTTTTTTTTTTATTGTGGTCAAATGTACATATCATAAAAATTTCCCTTTAACCTTTTTTGAGGGTACTGTTCATTGGCGTGAAGTACAATCACATTATTGTGCGACCGTTACCACCACGCATCTTCAAAATTTTTCATTTTCCCCAAATGAAACTGTTCTCATTAAAAAGAAATCACGCCCCATGGGGCGCCTGGGTGGCTCAGTCGGTTAAGCGTCCGACTTCAGCTCAGGTCATGATCTCACAGTCTGTGAGTTCAAGCCCCGCGTCGGGCTCTGTGCTGACAGCTCAGAGCCTGGAGCCTGCTTCAGATTCTGTGTCTCCCTCTCTCTCTGCCCCTTCCCCACTCACGCTCTGTCTCTCTCTGTCTCAGAAATAATAAAAACATTTTTAAAAAATTAAAAAAAGAAACAAAAAACTTCCCGTAACCCTAACTCCCAGCCCCTGGTAATCTCTATTCTATTTTCTTTCTCTCTAAACTGGACTATTGTTGGTACCTCATATAAGTGGAATTGTGCAATATCGTTCTTTTGTGTCTAGATTATTTCACTTAGGATAATGTTCTAAAATACACGCGTGTTGTAGCATGTATCAGGATTTTATTCCTTTGTAAGGTTGAATAATATTATATTTATATATTTATTATAGACATAGTTTATATATGTTTATATTTTGCATATTTTATATCTTGTTATATTTTTATATATTTCATATTATATAGTTACATATTTTGCATATTTTACATTTTTGTATATTTACATTTTGTATATATTTTATAATTTATATTGTAAAATGAACTTATATTTAATATAGATGTAATATATTAATATATATTCTATGCCCTTACATTTATTTACACTAGAATTTTATATAATATAATATATAAATATAACTATAACATTATTCAACCTTAAGTGTATACATTTTGTTTTTCTGTTCATTTGGGTTGTCCACCTTTTGGCTTTTGTGAATCATGCCACTACGAACATTGGTTTACAAATATCTCTTCAAGTTTCTGCTTTCAGTCCTTTTGGATATATACTCAGAAGTGGAATTACTGGATCATATGGTAATTCGATGTTAAGCTTTTTGAGGAACCACAACACTATTCTCTACAGTGGCTGTACCATTTCACATTACCATCAGCAGTGAGTAAGGGTTATAATTTCTCCATATCCTCACCAACACATTTTTATTTATTTATTTTTTATTGAAAATTTTTTTAGTGTGTGTTTATTTTTGAGAGAGACAGAGAGAGAGCAAGCAGGGGAGGGGCAGAGAGAGAGGGAGACATAGAATCTGAAGCAGGCTCCAGGCTTCAAGCTGTCAACACAGAGCCTGACACAAGGCTCAAACCCACAGACCGTGAGATCATGACTTGAGCTGAAGTTGGACGCTTAACTGACTGAGCCACCCAGGTGCCCCTATTTTTATTTTTTTGGTAATAGCTATCCTAATAGATATGAAGTAGCATTTCCTTATGGGTTTGATTTGCATTTCCCTGATGATTAATGATGTTGAACATCTTGTTATGTGCTTATTGACCATATGTATGTCTTTATTTTAATGTTTATTTATTTATTTTGAGAGAGAGAGCCCAAGTCGGGTAGGGGCAGAGAGAGAGGGGAGAGAGAGAATCCCCTCTGCACTCTCAGTGCAGAGCCTGACATGGGGCTCAAATTCACAAACCATGAGATCATGACCTGAGCTGAAACCAAGAGTCTGACACTTAACTGACTGAGCCACCCAGGCGCCCCTATATGCCTTCTTTGGAGAAATATCTGTTCAAGTCCTTTGCCTGACAGTCATTTTCTTTTTTTTTTATTAAAAAATTTTTTTTCAATGTTTATTTTTGAGAGACAGAGTGTGAGTAGGGAAGGGGCAGAGAGTGAGGGAGATACAGAATTCAAAGCAGGCTCCAGACTTTGAGCTCTGAGCTGTCAGCACAGAGCCTGACGCGGAGCTCGAACCCACGAACCGTCAGATCATGACCTGGGCTGAAGTTGGATGCCCAACCGACTGAGCCACCCAGGCGCCCCTGCCTAACAGTCATTTTTAATGCATGTATATACCTTTCTGCATATACACATTTTATAAATTATGTAAATATATTTATACTTTCCCTTCAGATCTAGATCAGTTTTTGTTTTAAACACCATAATCATTTCCCACAGTATGAATATATGATAATTATTTGGGCCCTTGCTATAATGTAACGTATATTTCAATTGGTTCCAGTTTTTACCTATTAGAAACAGTTTTTATTTTTTATTTATTTATTTATTTATTTATTTATTTTTAATTTTTTTTTTTCAACGTTTATTTATTTTTGGGACAGAGAGAGACAGAGCATGAACAGGGAAGGGGCAGAGAGAGAGGGAGACACAGAATCGGAAACAGGCTCCAGGCTCTGAGCCATCAGCCCAGAGCCCGACGCGGGGCTCGAACTCCCGGACCGCGAGATCGTGACCTGGCTGAAGTCGGACGCTTAACCGACTGCGCCACCCAGGCGCCCCTAGAAACAGTTTTTAATGAACAAGCTTGAACACACACGCATGTATCTATCTATCTATCTGCACAGATGCCAGAGTTTCTCTTGGCTATGGTCCCACAAGTTGCTAGTTGAAGGCATAGGACTGTTTAAAATTTTAGTAGACATAAATTCCAATATCCCAGCACACTCCCAACTATCAGTGGCCTCTAGTCATCCTTTGTCATCTGTGGCTAAGACAGTTTTTCTACCCAGTGCCAAGGGATTGGTGGTCTGAACTTGGAATCCTGATAAGTTATCCCCTAGAAGCCCTCCCTTGGCCTGCTGGTCTACCTAGTTTTGAAATTATTCCTGCCAACCCACATTATTACCACAAACTAAACAATAGATCTTGATATACTTCTTACAAAAAGATTGCCCCAAAGTCTCAATTCCCCCAAAAGCCTCTCTAAGGGGGAGCATACCGTGTGGGAGTTGCCCTGCCCTAGGAGGAAATTTCCCTTCCTTTCCTGAGCCCTCCAGCTGTCCATCCCTTCCTCTATTGCCATGATGTGGGAGACAGTGGTCAGATGGATAGACGTACTCCCTCTCTGTGCTCCCTAGTTCCTTAGTGCCTGGGCTCTCTGTTGCTATATTACCCCTCCCCCTTCTTTTTAATAGTTTATTTATTTATTTTGAGAGAGAGAAAGAACACACAAGCAGGGGAGGAGCAGAGAGAGAGGGAAAGAGAGAATCTCAAGCAGGCTGTGCACTGCCAGTGCAGAGCCCAGTGTTGGGCTTGAACCCACGAACTGTGGGATCATGACTTGAGCTGAAGTCAAGAGTCAGCTGCTTAACCATCTGAGCCACCCCTTCTGATTTGATGGGAAAATATGCCATACGTAAAATATGTTAAATGTTCTGTGTATCTGTAAGGTATATTGTATATGATATATACATATTAATTTTCACATATTATACAAAATATATATGTTTTCCTGTAAAACTTCACCTTGAACAATTTGCCACATTTTTTTTTGTTTCAACTTTTTACTTAAATTCTAGTTAGTTAACATATAGTGTAATATTGGTTTCAGGAGTAGAATTTAGTAATTTATCACTTACAGGGGTGCCTGGGTGGCTCAGTTGGTTAAGCATCTGACTTTGGCTCAGGCCGATGATCTCGCGGTTTGTGAGTTCGAGCCCCGCATTGGGCTCTGTGCTGACAGCTCAGAGCCTGGAGCCTGCTTCGGATTCCGTGTCTCCCCCTCTCTCTGCTCCTCCCATCATGCTCTGTCTCTGTCTCTTAATAATTAATGTTAAAAAAAGTAATTTATCACTTACAGCTAACACCCAGTGCTCATCACTAGTGCCCTCCTTAATATCCATCACCCATTTAGCCCATCCCTTGCCCAACTCCCTCACCAACCCTCAGTTTGTTCTCTATAGTTGTCTCTTATGGTTTGCTTCCCTCTTTTTCCCCTTCCCTTATGTTCATCTCTTGTGTTTCTTAAATTCCACATATGAGTGAAATCACATGGTATTTGTCATTCTCTGATTGACTTCTTCCACTTAGCATAATACATTGTAGCTCCATCCATGTCACTGCAAATAGCAAGATTTCATTCAATTTGATGACTGAGTAATATTCCATTGTACATGTGTACCACATCTTCTTTATCCATTCATCAGTTGATAGACAATTGGGCTCTTTCCATAATTTGACTATTGTTGATAATGCTGGTATAAACATTGGGGTGCATGTGTCCCTTTGA